CTCGGCTACTGAAGGTTTCTTCAGTTTTGACAACCAAAAAATACATCGACAGATTTTTAGAGGTTGTTAATGTGTCAATGCGTTGTGGGTATGCTGACGGTTCATGGGAATACTAAGTTTTTGATTTTGGTTTTTGTGTTTCTGAAATATGTCTTTTTTGTGTTTGTTCTTGATGCGATATTTTGTGGTACAAGTTTTTTTTTTCATTTTTCAGGACACTGTGTGGCTAGTTAAGTCATCTTCATGTGTTCATTGTTGTTCCATTCATTAGTTCTACTGGGTTAGCGATCGTTGCAGAAGCGGATATGCGCTGTGGTGATTTTTTTTCGAAAAAAGTTGTCGTTACAAAATGGTTGTTTCCACTAGCTTCTGGTCCTGGCTACTGAATGTTTCTTCAGTTTTGACAACCAAAAAAATACACTGCGACTTTTTTTTGGTTTGTTAAAGCTTTCTGGACATGCTGGCGGTTCAGGGGAGTACTATATTTCAATTTTGGTTTTCATGATTCTGAAATTTGTCATTTTTTGTGTTTGTTCTTGATGCGATCTTTTGTGGTACAATTTTTTTTCATTTTTCAGGCACTGTGTGGCTAGTTACGTCATATTGATGTGTTCATTGTTGTTTTTTCATCAGTTCTACAAAGTTAGCGATCATTGCAGAAGCGGATTTTCTCGGTGGTACTTTTTTGTCCGAAAAGGTTGTCGTTACAAATCGTTAGTTTCCACTAGCTTCTGGTCTCAGCTACTGAATGTTTCTTCAGGTTTGACAACCAAAAAATACATCGAAAGATTTTTTGGGGTTGTTAATGTGTTAATGCGTTGTGGGTATGCTGACGGTTCATGGGAATACTAATTTTTTGTCTTTGGTTTTTGTGTTTCTGAAATATGTCTTTTTTGTGTTTGTTCTTGATGCGATCTTTTGTGGTACAAGTTTTTTTTTTTCATTTTTCAGGACACTGTGTGGCTAGTTAAGTCATCTTGATGTGTTCATTGTTGTTCCATTCATTAGTTCTACTGGGTTAGCGATCGTTGCAGAAGCGGATATGCGCTGTGGTGATTTTTTTTTCGAAAAAAGTTGTCGTTACAAAATGGTTGTTTCCACTAGCTTCTGTTCCTGGCTACTGAATGTTTCTTCAGTTTTGACAACCAAAAAAATACACTGCGACTTTTTTTTGGTTTGTTAAAGCTTTGTGGACATGCTGGTGGTTCATGGGATTACTATATTTCGATTTTGGTTTTTATGATTCTGAAATTTGTCATTTTTTGTGTTTGTTCTTGATGCGATCTTTTGTGGTACAATTTTTTTTCATTTTTCAGGACACTGTGTGGCTAGTTAAGTCATATTGATGTGTTCATTGTTGTTTTTTCATCAGTTCTACTAAGTTAGCGATCATTGCAGAAGCGGATTTTCTCGGTGGTACTTTTTTGTCCGAAAAGGTTGTCGTTACAAATCGGTAGTTTCCACTAGCTTCTGGTCTCGGCTACTGAATGTTTCTTCAGTTTTGACAACCAAAAAATACATCGACAGATTTTTTGGGGTTGTTAATGTGTTAATGCGTTGTGGGTATGCTGACGGTTCATGGGAATACCAAGTTTTTGATTTTGGTTTTTGTGTTTCTGAAATATGTCTTTTTTGTGTTTGTTCTTGATGCGATCTTTTGTGGTACAAGTTTTTTTTTTCATTTTTCAGGACACTGTGTGGCTAGTTAAGTCATCTTGATGTGTTCATTATCGTTCCATTCATTAGTTCTACTGGGTTAGCGATCGTTGCAGAAGCGGATATGCGCTGTGGTGATTTTTTTTTTCGATAAAAGTTGTCGTTACAAAATGGTTGTTTCCACTAGCTTCTGGTCCTGGCTACTGAATGTTTCTTCAGTTTTGACAACCAAAAAAATACACTGCGACTTTTTTTGGTTTGTTAAAGCTTTGTGGACATGCTGGTGGTTCATGGGAGTACTATATTTCGATTTTGGTTTTTATGATTCTGAAATTTGTCATTTTTGTGTTTGTTCTTGATGCGATCTTTTGTGGTACAAATTTTTGTTCATTTTTCAGGACACTGTGTGGCTAGTTAAGTCATATTGATGTGTTCATTGTTGTTTTTTCATCAGTTCTACTAAGTTAGCGATCATTGCAGAAGCGGATTTTCTCGGTGGTACTTTTTTGTCCGAAAAGGTTGTCGTTACAAATCGGTAGTTTCCACTAGCTTCTGGTCTCGGCTACTGAATGTTTCTTCAGTTTTGACAACCAAAAAATACATCGACAGATTTTTTGGGGTTGTTAATGTGTTAACGCGTTGTGGTTATGCTGACGGTTCATGGGATTAATAAGTTTTTGATTTTGGTTTTTATGTTTCTGAAATATGTCTTTTTGTGTTTGTTCTTAATGCGATATTTTGTGGTTCAAGTTTTTTTTTCATTTTTCAGGACACTGTGTGGCTAGTTAAGTCATCTTGATGTGTTCATTGTTGTTCCATTCATTAGTTCTACTGGGTTAGCTATCGTTGCAGAAGCGGATTTGCTCTTTGGTATTATTTTGTCGGAAAAGGATGTCGTTACAAATCGGTAGTTTCCACTAGCTTCTGGTCTCGGCTACTGAATGTTTCTTCAGTTTTGACAACCAAAAAATACATCGACAGATTTTTTGGGGTTGTTATTGTGTTAATGCGTTGTGGGTATGCTGACGGTTCATGGGAATACTACGTTTTTGGTTTTGGTTTTTATGTTTCTGAAGTATGTCTTTTTTGTGTTTGTTCTTGATGCGATCTTTTGTGGTACAAGTTTTTTTTTTCATTTTTCAGGACACTGTGTGGCTAGTTAAGTAATCTTGATGTGTTCATTGTTGTTCCATTCATTAGTTCTACTGGGTTAGCTATCGTTGCAGAAGCGGATTTGCTCTCTGGTACTTTTTTGTCCGAAAAGGTTGTCGTTACAAATCGGTAGTTTCCACTAGCTTCTGGTCTCGGCTACTGAATGTTTCTTCAGTTTTGACAACCAAAAAATACATCGACAGATTTTTTGGGGTTGTTAATATGTTAATGCGTTGTGGGTATGCTGACGGTTCATGGGAATACTAAGTTTTTGATTTTGGTTTCTAAGTTTCTGAAATATGTCTTTTTTGTGTTTGTTCTTGATGCGATATTTTGTGGTACAAGTTTTTTTTTCATTTTTCAGGACACTGTGTGGCTAGTTAAGTCATCTTGATGTGTTCATTGTTGTTCCATTCATTAGTTCTACTGGGTTAGCGATCGTTGCAGAAGCGGATTTGCTCTCTGGTACTTTTTTGTCCGAAAAGGTTGTCGTTACAAATCGGTAGTTTCCACTAGCTTCTGGTCTCGGCTACTGAATGTTTCTTCAGTTTTGACAACCAAAAAATACATCGACAGATTTTTTGGGGTTGTTAATGTGTTAATGCGTTGTGGGTATGCTGACGGTTCATGGGAATACTAAGTTTTTGATTTTGGTTTCTAAGTTTCTGAAATATGTCTTTTTTCTGTTTGTTCTTGATGCGATATTTTGTGGTACAAGTTTTTTTTTTCATTTTTCAGGACACTGTGTGGCTAGTTAAGTCATCTTGATGTGTTCATTGTTGTTCCATTCATTAGTTCTACTGGGTTAGCGATCGTTGCAGAAGCGGATATGCGCTGTGGTGATTTTTTTTTCGAAAAAAGTTGTCGTCACAAAATGGTTGTTTCCACTAGCTTCTGGTCCTGGCTACTGAATGTTTCTTCAGTTTTGACAACCAAAAAAATACACTGCGACATTTTTTTTGGTTTGTTAAAGCGTTGTGGACATGCTGGTGGTTCATGGGAGTACTATATTTTGATTTTGGTTTTTATGATTCTGAAATTTGTCATTTTTTGTGTTTGTTCTTGATGCGATCTTTTGTGGTACAATTTTTTTTTTTCATTTTTCAGGACACTGTGTGGCTAGTTAAGTCATATTGATGTGTTCATTGTTGTTTTTTTTCATCAGTTCTACTAAGTTAGCGATCATTGCAGAAGCGGATTTTCTCGGTGGTATTTTTTTGTCCGAAAAGGTTGTCGTTACAAATCGGTAGTTTCCACTAGCTTCTGGTCTCGGCTACTGAATGTTTCTTCAGTTTTGACAACCAAAAAATACGTCGACAGATTTTTTGGGGTTGTTAATGTGTTAATGTGTTGTGGGTATGCTGACGGTTCATGGAAATACTAAGTTTTTGATTTTGGTTTTTCATTACGTCGCCAATCCGTGTTATTTCAATAGTCAGATTTGACTATTAGTGTACATGGATTCCGAATTCAAATGATATTACATGCACATGCCATGGATTCCGCGTTCAAATACTCGCATGGCGGCACGAACAGGCATATACGCAAAATCCCGGAATCCGGGACAATCAATTAAACCACCGAAAATTGGCAAAATCTCGGAATCCATGGTATAGCGAACAATTACTTGAATTCGGAATCCAGGACATGGTCCCGGAATCCGAGCCATTTTTACTCAACCACTAAACAAATAGTTGCTAAACAAATAGTTGATAAATTCAATACACTATAACCATGGAATCCAAGACGTTGGAATCCAGTGAGAAAAATGGCATGGAATCCAAGACTTTTATATTTTTGAATTAATCTGGCAGAAGTTTACAGTTTTTAAGCAATTTTATTCCATCTTTTTTGTTTAGTTTGTCCTACAAGTTATTATAACTGCAACTATAATATACGTGCTAAAATACTGTATTCCGATGAAAAAAGTTGTGGGTACAATCGTTTGATCAAACTTAGTTATAACTACTAACTAATTAGTTACTAAGTAATTAGTAATTTCGAGCGTGCCGAAATACTGTACATGTACTTCGATGAAAAAAGTTGTGGGTGCAAATGTTTGAACTACTACTAGTAGTAACTACACGTATGTAACATACAGGATGTTGAACATAAAATATATGGAACTTCCATTGAATGGGTGTAACACAACTTGAAAAGTTTCTAAGGTAAAAAAGCTGAGCTTGTGAACCTCACATGTTGAACATGTATCGAGCAACTTTATCGCCATAATCGTACCGTAGCTGTTCGAAAGGCTCAATGTTTCTTCGGACTTTGAATACAGCTAATCGTTTTGGCGGATCGAAGGCATTAAGAACAACTTCTATGATCTTCATATTCGCATCCAAATTCTTCTTGGAGTTTAGCGTGCTGTGATTAGCCAGTCGACCAAGACAGCGGTTGGTTGGATGTTCAACACACACTTCTGAAGAAGCATCGATGAAACGCTTCACAGGCGCGCCAATTTCCAGCACAAATTCAGTCGGAACAGAACGGTTCCTTATCAAATCTTGATATGTTTTATCTGTCACAGCAACCCCATGGTAGTCCATGATAATATCATCCTTCTGGAAGGCCTGTGTGCTGACAACGCCTGAATCAGAAAATGTTCAACATTTAAAGTTCAACTCTATATTATGTAACACAGTTACATGGCATTTTTCAATGGAATTCAAAAAACTGTATTGGTTGAAAACTTTATGACTTTTTAAAACTTTAAACTATAACGTTTGAATCAAAAAAGAAATTTTTTTGAAAAAGAAATTTTTGAAAGTTTTGGAAACTTGTCGTCAACGTTTTCAAGAAACGCAAGATTACCTCTTCCGAAGGTAGGGAAAACAACATCACAAATGCCAACCCATTCTTGCGTATCACATCTGTGGGCCAGAAGCGTTTGTGCGTCCAATGAAAGAAAGTTTCCAGTGCCTTTATTACTAATGCCGCTGGAATCAGAAAGCGGCTTTTGTTGTCGCTTGCTTTTCTCTTTCTGCAGCATGGCGATTTGGGACATGGCTTTCTTTAGGTCGTGATGAGTTTCCCATTTGTTTCGCTGGAAAAAACCCGACACGCGCGTCTCCGATACAACAAAGTTTGGATACTGTTTCACAAAAGCTTGTGCTCTAATTGTCTGTCTTATGTATCTTTGTTGATCTTGTCTACATCGCACAGCTTTTTCAACATCTTTGTAGGTGTGATTGACAATCTGGAAAAACGTGAGCGTATTGTTTCATACATCCAATTGATAAATTGTGATACTGTATAAAAAAACTGTGAAGTACAAATCAGCTGAAACAGTCGAAACTTTCCGAAAGTTTCCGAGTCGAAACGTTTCTTAAATAAAAAAATTCTTGGAAAATCAAAGTAGCACCTTGTGAATTTCCTGCGTTTTGTGTTTCACCAGTTGAAAGGCAGGATCTTTTGACAAAGGCATGAATTTTGCCACTTGACGATCGAGCAATGTCTTGGGTCGCTTAGCAGGCTGCATTTGAGCAGAAATCTAAACAGATCCTTCTAGAACGAATTCCCCGTTGTGTTCAAATCATATTAGGAAGTTCAACTTCCACAGACTTATAAGTTAAAAGTTTAAACGTACCATGTCAGAAACTGTGGCGGCAATTCTATTCACACGAAACTTGGTGTTTCCACTGGAGTTCACAAAAAAAGTTCTGTTTTGACTTGGATTGGTTGCTCAGGGAAAGATCGGGTGAAAGAAATATTTTCTTCCGGGACACTCTGAGGTAAGAAATGTGGTCGAACTTCAGTGTGATAAAGTTTCAAACCCTGTACGAGCCATCGCGGCAAAATGTGATTCGAACGTTCAGTAGACACTAAACAAACAGTTTCACAATTTTGAAAAAAAGTTATACGGAAGAAATTCAAGATGACTCACTTTCACTTGGTTCAATTGAAACCGTTAGACAAGTATCGTCCTCATCTGACAATACCACAAACGCTTGTGCAACTGCATGAACAGACATGCAGCTTATGGTTTTTTCTAGCATTGATGGCACGACATAACAGTATAAGAAGGCTGTCACAAGTTGAAATAACGAAACACGTTGTTTATGGGTTGTTTTTTCATCAGTTCTACTAAGTTAGCGATCATTGCAGAAGCGGATTTTCTCGGTGGTACTTTTTTGTCCGAAAAGGTTGTCGTTACAAATCGGTAGTTTCCACTAGCTTCTGGTCTCGGCTACTGAATGTTTCTTCAGTTTTGACAACCAAAAAATACGTCGACAGATTTTTTGAGGTTGTTAATGTGTTAATGTGTTGTGGGTATGCTGACGGTTCATGGGAATACTAAGTTTTTGATTTTGGTTTTTCATTACGTCGCCAATCCGTGTTATTTCAATAGTCAGATTTGACTATTAGTGTACATGGATTCCGAATTCAAATGATATTACATGCACATGCCATGGATTCCGCGTTCAAATACTCGCATGGCGGCACGAACAGGCATATACGCAAAATCCCGGAATCCGGGACAATCAATTAAACCACCGAAAATTGGCAAAATCCCGGAATCCATGGTATAGCGAACAATTACTTGAATTCGGAATCCAGGACATGGTCCCGGAATCCGAGCCATTTTTACTCAACCACTAAACAAATAGTTGCTAAACAAATAGTTGATAAATTCAATACACTATAACCATGGAATCCAAGACGTTGGAATCCAGTGAGAAAAATGGCATGGAATCCAAGACTTTTATATTTTTGAATTAATCTGGCAGAAGTTTACAGTTTTTAAGCAATTTTATTCCATCTTTTTTGTTTAGTTTGTCCTACAAGTTATTATAACTGCAACTATAATATACGTGCTAAAATACTGTATTCCGATGAAAAAAGTTGTGGGTACAATCGTTTGATCAAACTTAGTTATAACTACTAACTAATTAGTTACTAAGTAATTAGTAATTTCGAGCGTGCCGAAATACTGTACATGTACTTCGATGAAAAAAGTTGTGGGTGCAAATGTTTGAACTACTACTAGTAGTAACTACACGTATGTAACATACAGGATGTTGAACATAAAATATATGGAACTTCCATTGAATGGGTGTAACACAACTTGAAAAGTTTCTAAGGTAAAAAAGCTGAGCTTGTGAACCTCACATGTTGAACATGTATCGAGCAACTTTATCGCCATAATCGTACCGTAGCTGTTCGAAAGGCTCAATGTTTCTTCGGACTTTGAATACAGCTAATCGTTTTGGCGGATCGAAGGCATTAAGAACAACTTCTATGATCTTCATATTCGCATCCAAATTCTTCTTGGAGTTTAGCGTGCTGTGATTAGCCAGTCGACCAAGACAGCGGTTGGTTGGATGTTCAACACACACTTCTGAAGAAGCATCGATGAAACGCTTCACAGGCGCGCCAATTTCCAGCACAAATTCAGTCGGAACAGAACGGTTTCTTATCAAATCTTGATATGTTTTATCTGTCACAGCAACCCCATGGTAGTCCATGATAATATCATCCTTCTGGAAGGCCTGTGTGCTGACAACGCCTGAATCAGAAAATGTTCAACATTTAAAGTTCAACTCTATATTATGTAACACAGTTACATGGCATTTTTCAATGGAATTCAAAAAACTGTATTGGTTGAAAACTTTATGACTTTTTAAAACTTTAAACTATAACGTTTGAATCAAAAAAGAAATTTTTTTGAAAAAGAAATTTTTGAAAGTTTTGGAAACTTGTCGTCAACGTTTTCAAGAAACGCAAGATTACCTCTTCCGAAGGTAGGGAAAACAACATCACAAATGCCAACCCATTCTTGCGTATCACATCTGTGGGCCAGAAGCGTTTGTGCTTCCAATGAAAGAAAGTTTCCAGTGCCTTTATTACTAATGCCGCTGGAATCAGAAAGCGGCTTTTGTTGTCGCTTGCTTTTCTCTTTCTGCAGCATGGCGATTTGGGACATGGCTTTCTTTAGGTCGTGATGAGTTTCCCATTTGTTTCGCTGGAAAAAACCCGACACGCGCGTCTCCGATACAACAAAGTTTGGATACTGTTTCACAAAAGCTTGTGCTCTAATTGTCTGTCTTATGTATCTTTGTTGATCTTGTCTACATCGCACAGCTTTTTCAACATCTTTGTAGGTGTGATTGACAATCTGGAAAAACGTGAGCGTATTGTTTCATACATCCAATTGATAAATTGTGATACTGTATAAAAAAACTGTGAAGTACAAATCAGCTGAAACAGTCGAAACTTTCCGAAAGTTTCCGAGTCGAAACGTTTCTTAAATAAAAAAATTCTTGGAAAATCAAAGTAGCACCTTGTGAATTTCCTGCGTTTTGTGTTTCACCAGTTGAAAGGCAGGATCTTTTGACAAAGGCATGAATTTTGCCACTTGACGATCGAGCAATGTCTTGGGTCGCTTAGCAGGCTGCATTTGAGCAGAAATCTAAACAGATCCTTCTAGAACGAATTCCCCGTTGTGTTCAAATCATATTAGGAAGTTCAACTTCCACAGACTTATAAGTTAAAAGTTTAAACGTACCATGTCAGAAACTGTGGCGGCAATTCTATTCACACGAAACTTGGTGTTTCCACTGGAGTTCACAAAAAAAGTTCTGTTTTGACTTGGATTGGTTGCTCAGGGAAAGATCGGGTGAAAGAAATATTTTCTTCCGGGACACTCTGAGGTAAGAAATGTGGTCGAACTTCAGTGTGATAAAGTTTCAAACCCTGTACGAGCCATCGCGGCAAAATGTGATTCGAACGTTCAGTAGACACTAAACAAACAGTTTCACAATTTTGAAAAAAAGTTATACGGAAGAAATTCAAGATGACTCACTTTCACTTGGTTCAATTGAAACCGTTAGACAAGTATCGTCCTCATCTGACAATACCACAAACGCTTGTGCAACTGCATGAACAGACATGCAGCTTATGGTTTTTTCTAGCATTGATGGCACGACATAACAGTATAAGAAGGCTGTCACAAGTTGAAATAACGAAACACGTTGTTTATGGGTTGTTTTTTCATCAGTTCTACTAAGTTAGCGATCATTGCAGAAGCGGATTTTCTCGGTGGTACTTTTTTGTCCGAAAAGGTTGTCGTTACAAATCGGTAGTTTCCACTAGCTTCTGGTCTCGGCTACTGAATGTTTCTTCAGTTTTGACAACCAAAAAATACATCGACAGATTTTTTGGGGTTGTTAATGTGTTAATGCGTTGTGGTTATGCTGACGGTTCATGGGATTAATAAGTTTTTGATTTTGGTTTTTATGTTTCTGAAATATGTCTTTTTGTGTTTGTTCTTAATGCGATATTTTGTGGTTCAAGTTTTTTTTTCATTTTTCAGGACACTGTGTGGCTAGTTAAGTCATCTTGATGTGTTCATTGTTGTTCCATTCATTAGTTCTACTGGGTTAGTTATCGTTGCAGAAGCGGATTTGCTCTTTGGTATTATTTTGTCGGAAAAGGTTGTCGTTACAAATCGGTAGTTTCCACTAGCTTCTGGTCTCGGCTACTGAATGTTTCTTCAGTTTTGACAACCAAAAAATACATCGACAGATTTTTTGGGGTTGTTATTGTGTTAATGCGTTGTGGGTATGCTGACGGTTCATGGGAATACTACGTTTTTGGTTTTGGTTTTTATGTTTCTGAAATATGTCTTTTTTGTGTTTGTTCTTGATGCGATCTTTTGTGGTACAAGTTTTTTTTTCATTTTTCAGGACACTGTGTGGCTAGTTAAGTAATCTTGATGTGTTCATTGTTGTTCCATTCATTAGTTCTACTGGGTTAGCTATCGTTGCAGAAGCGGATTTGCTCTCTGGTACTTTTTTGTCCGAAAAGGTTGTCGTTACAAATCGGTAGTTTCCACTAGCTTCTGGTCTCGGCTACTGAATGTTTCTTCAGTTTTGACAACCAAAAAATACATCGACAGATTTTTTGGGGTTGTTAATGTGTTAATGCGTTGTGGGTATGCTGACGGTTCATGGGAATACTAAGTTTTTGATTTTGGTTTCTAAGTTTCTGAAATATGTCTTTTTT